TCATGAGAAACGGTCGACGGATAAACTAGGTCGTACTTCACGAACTGATCATCAGGTGACAGCAGCGAAGGTACCTAAAATCGTTCAGTTATCTGACATGAATATCCCCACGGAAATGTGCTGCAGTAGAATAATATCCGTGATATCTTTGATTGTTAGCCACTTTTTCTCCAGATCCACAAACTCTCGCGATGATTTGCGCATATGATCAGCATACCCGAGAGGAGACATACAAGTAAATCAGATACGGCCAGTGATCCAAAAGAACAGTACAATGGATCACCCTCCTCGCTACGCACCTGGCCAACCCTAGCATCAGTACTTCATGTGCATTTTTATCGTATAAAACTAAAATACCAATAATTTGACATAGGCTTTATGTGAAATTCGAAAAAAATGTGGCGCGAAAAATATAGGTGCTGTACTGTCTGCGGAAACACGACATAAAAGTTAGCTAGGAGTTGTTATTATTATTAGCACTGCTATATTAATTTAGCAGAATTAACATTTCTACTATTAAGCTTTACCTTTGATCCCTCTGATAATCTGAGGTGTCACCGCTGCGGATATTTTCTCAAAAGGTCTAGTTCGCAGACTACTGAGCCTAGCTTAGTAGTACTAATATCAAAACTGCTAGTACTATTAAGAACAATGGCATCAGCCCATTTGCAGTTTTTGCAATGAGATTAAGTTAAGCTAGTATTTCTATCATTACACTTATTAGTACTGCTAGCACTTATGCTACTGTAATTGTACTAATACTTCTACAGTTATCCTTAGCAGTGACAGCAGTATCAACAATTATCAACGTCAGTCGTGCTACTAAAAATAACAGTAGAACTACTAGCACTCTTACAGATTGCAGTCACACTAAACAGTTCCTCTATAACTCTTAGTGCCAACGATAACATTAGCATTAATATTAGTACTAGCAATAGCAGAATAAGTGTCAGTACTGATACAAACAATAGTAGTAAAAAGCGTTCTACTTTCACTGCTCATAGTTCTACTTTTCCGGTGTTATACGTTAAGTATGCCTGCTGAAGTATCAACGTTGGCAGGGTCGGAAAATCTGTTTCTTCAGGAAGCTAAAGCAAGCGTAGCGAAACAAAAAAAGGTGATCTTTTTTACTGTTCTGTGGGATCATGGGCATGTCCGATTAACTTGCGTGCCCTTTCTTAGGCGTTCTGATTACATGCGCAAAAAATCACGATAGTTGTCGGAATGCCAAAAGTAGCTACCATAAAACATCTAGCCCCATGTAAGACTAATACGTGCACTAGTACTACGGGCAACAGAACCAGAATAGTGAGCAGTACCAGATCTAGGACGGTTGCTACTAGCATAATTCAGACAGCAGGAGCATGGTCACTTTAGCAGTTCGTGGCAACGAAAAGCAATTACCTGAGGTTTGTCAATGACCGGAATACCTACGATTGACTGTCCGATCACCGCTGTCGGATCAGGTGCTGGCCACGTTGCTGACCAAGAGACAAATACGGCCAAGCCGACGTGGTGAACTAGCGACGGATGCCACGGATTGTCGAATATTTCGTTACCCATCTGCCCGGAAGAAAATACGCCGGACAGCGGAAGAAACGAGTCTGCTGGTTTATCGCGTAAACTGCAACGAACGTCGAAGCATACATTTCCCGACTGACCCGGCTGCAGAACATAATCTAAAGACCAAAAATTTTCAGTGCTCTGATGATCGACTACAAGACTGAAATAACTTTTCACATTCAAACAAACATAATTACTGCACGCCATAAGAAAATAATCATCTTTTCAAAATATAGCCTCGGGGGCAGGAGGACTTCAACTTCGCAACGATTCGTTTTCAAGCATAGAAGCGAACATTCGAAAAATGACAATGTACTTGTAGATGTGAAAGAAAAGCACTTTCATACACAGCACTGTTGCGTAGAATCACAAGTTTTCGAATCCCATCGAAGTTCGCTGTCCATAAATGTATACTGATCATTTATGAAGTGAGCAGCATACGGCAGCCAAAATACTGAATTATGTAACGGCAAAATGTGAGGATGTGTATTTTCTTTCTTCCTGACGATCTCAAACTGTAGTTAACGAATGACGGTAATAAGGAACTGACATAACTATTGATACCCGACTATACTCAGATGGAAGAGAAGCTAAGGGGTTCTGGTCGCAGCAGTCGTCGAAGAAAATAAGGCGGAAGCCGTAAGGCAGTCTTTTCCCTTCTGCACAACAGACGATGACTCATGGCCAGAAAAAAGGAACATAAAGATCATGCTGGACAGACGAATTTCTATGAAAATTTGCCGATATACAGCTCATTAAGGTCTTAATTTCTTCAGTGAATAGTCATGTTAGAAATGACGATGATGTTCATAACCGCCTTGAGGTGGAAAAAAGTGGCCCATTAAAAACATGTCCGCTTCGAACTCAGCAGGTGCCGGGTTCCAATCCAAAAATATCACTTAACAGCCAATTCTCTTGAATTAGGAACGCACCTGACATTGCTCACCTCACGATTAATTGGTATTATAGCACCCGCAATGTAGCTGCTGTTGAGCAAGCCAGTTACTTTCCCCAATTACTTGAACCTCACTATTCCTCCTCGTCATTTCGCTTGAAAAAATCTCTTCTTTATCATTTGCAGGATGCAACTCTTTTGTGGAATTATTTGAAAAATCCGTAAATCACTTGAAACACTGGACAACTGATTTGCTCTTTTTGACTCAGCAGTCAGACTGATGACGTGGCAGACAGTAAATGTCCCCGACTGCAAATTTCGCATGAGTGAATCGCTAAATCCAAGCCTAAAGATGTGTCTGAGTGGG